CGGCATGCTCGGCGGGGTGCAGGCGGGTGCAGGCGGGTGCGGGTGGGTGCCAGCCCGTCTCCCAGGGCCCCGGCCTGGCCACAGTGTAGGTGATAAGGTCACCGGTCTGCAGCCCCTAGGCCGGAGCGAGGGAGGGAGTGTTCCCAGAGTCCGGACGGGGGCAGGACTTGGGAGCTGGAACAAAGACAGCGAGCTTTCTTGGAAAGGCCTGGACGGTGTGGCCAGAGAACGCAGAGGAACCGGACTTTGGGAGCTGTGGAGGGAGAGGGTGGGGCCGCGGGGTGGATGCTGGCCTTTGCCGAGGGGGCCTGAGCGGTTTGGCAGAATGCAGACGCGGAGCTCCTTGGCCGGCTGCTCATTCGCTCTGCTTCTGTTCTCCCCAGGATGGCGCAGAGTGCGCCGCTCCACAGGCTTCTTACTCCCTAGCGTGGCCGGCCGCCGGGCCGTGTGTGGAGAGGAGAGGGAGAGGAGACTCCTGATCAAAGCCCCGGCCCTTCCCACAGCGGTCCTGGTCACTCACAGAGGGGGCGGAGGGAGGCGTCCGCGGGCTGCAGCGTGGAATCTGCTAGAAGGCGTCCGAGACGGAAGCTGTGAAGAAAGAGATGGAAATTTCTTCTTTCCCCTGCTTCCTCGAGACTTTTTAAAAATATGAATTTATTAACTATCTTCCCATATGGGAATCTCCCCTCCCCCTCCCTCCCCCTCTCATATCATTAAGACAATTTAAATGCAATCCCAGCCTCCCTCAGCTCGCAGTCTTTAAGACAGACATTTATGTGGATACGCGTCTAAAAGACAGACAGACGGTGGAACCAAAACATTGAATTTCCGCGTAGATGAGCAGGATTAAATATTTACACCCCCCCCCGCCCCGCCCTCCCCGGTGCTGTTCAGTGACTGGGTAATCGCCGCCGTGCAGAAAGGAAAGTCGGGGGCCTGGAAGAGCCCCGGGCGGCCGCCCAGGAGCCCTGCGCGGTTTACAGGCAGGAATCCGAGCATCGCCGATTTGTCTATATGTCCAGGGCGTGTGCATAAGCCTTAATCATGTCGGTGAGCGTTGGCCTGGGTCTAGCCCCTCACCCCAGGGGCAGCACACACCCAGAGATCACAGAGGGACGGAGGAGGACAGGGAAGGGGGGAAGACGCCCCGCCAGGTAGGGCGGCCGCTTCTCCAGTAGCTTCCTGGACCTGGTCCCTCGCTTGTCCCGCGGGAGAGCTGGGCGCTCACTCCCTGCTTTCCAAACGTGGATTGCGTTGGTGTTTCTGGGCTTCGCTCCTCTGGCTCTAGTGTCACTGCTACAACTACTTCCGTGTATTTTTCTTTCTTTCTTTTTAACTACGTGTTGGAATTCTGAAAGGTTCTCCAGAATCTTATTTTGCCAAGGGTGTCAGCACGGGAAGGCCTTGGTAAGCACAGGGGAGAGCTGCCTCCCTCCAACAAGTCCCCAGGCTGGAGGCCCGGGCTCCACCCGCAGGGCCAGGTCTTGCTCTGAGATTTCAGAGATTTCTGAGATTTCAGAGATTTCTGAGATTTCAGAGATTTGGCAGGAACGCAGCCCAAAGTGAAAGTGAAAGGCCAGGAGAAAGCAAAAGCCTGGGGCCATTGCTGAAGAGCGAGTGTGGCAGTCCCGGGTCTTTGCTAAGAGCGGCTGGAATAGCTCTGCCGTCCGTGACTCACTGAGCAGCGAGGTGAAGAGCCATAATCCTGTGCTGGGCAGGCTGGCTGTCGGGCAGAAAACAGCCCCATCCACCCACCAATCATCTTCTCTCTCTCATCGATGACCTGTGAAATAATGAGAAGGCCACCCAGTGTCAACAAATGCTCTGAAAATAGCCACACGGCTCAAGAGAAGAGGAGACCCCTTGCTCTCGAGGGGCGATCCGAAGTAAGGCTTCCTCACTCTCTGTGTTCGTTGCCAGCGAGAGCGGAGGCTTGGTGTGCGGCGCACCGAGTTCGGCGGTGGCAGACTCATCGGCCATCCTGGTCCTCCTGGTGTGGGAAGTCGGGCGGGGCGGCGGGTCCCGGCCCGCGCGGTCTCCGGTTCACCCTGCCCTTCGGCATGGTCAGGAAGCGAAGCCCGCTGGACAGCGACCGCTCCCCAGGGG